AAAAGAGATCTGCGGCAACGCTGAATTGGCAGGTTTCCGGAGACGAGAAAAGCATTCCATTGGAGTCTTTACTCCTTCCCAAAGCAATACCGGGAAAAGTCTTTGACTGAAACTTGCTTCGCCCAACTGGTTTGCCCGATACGTAGTCGCGATCGCGCATGAAATACCAAACACTGCCGAATGGGAATAAGGTACGGAGATCCGGTTGTTGTTAGAAGAAAAGCTCAAACGGTTTGGCGTATCGAGTCGTTCCATATTCGTTCTTTCCAACGTCAATGAAATCATGTCATTCGCTCGAAGCTTGCGAACTGCCACAAAACCAAAAACTTCCGAGGGCAGATTGGCCTCTTAAGTAAGCTCGACCAGCCATGCCCGACCAACCATTCAGTTGCGACAAAACCGTCATGGACTGGCGATAGGGACGAAGAGAGTGTCGAAATGTTTCGACTTGCAATAATCGGCGAACTTCGCCTCGAATCAACTTTGGATCAAAATCTGTCAGCATACGGCAACATGTTTCAGCCCGTTTGGGTCCCATGTCTACGAAGAGCTGGCGAAATGCTTCGGCCAAGGTGGATCCGATGGTATCACGAAGCCCATATCAAAAGCTCTGACGGGATCTGGCGTCAACCACTACCAAGCAGTATCGATGGCCGCCGGGAGATACATCATCACCGAAACCAATGTCCACACAGATTGTGTGGCCAGGTGGTGGAATTTTTGATTGCTTGCCGCGTCGTACACGACGTACATTGACGAAGTCTCCAATGGAAGCTGGGGTCTCTCCGAAATTGGCCACTTTACCGACTTTGCAACAGTTTGCCAGGGTTTTCCAGTCGTTGAAGGTGCGATTGCCAAAGAGACGATGGAGTTCATCGCTGGAGAAACGCTTTGTGGCTGGGGAAGCCGAGTTGGGGACGTACTCGGATGGGATGTCGCGATTGCTGTCGCGGTTGTGTAGGTCTTGCTCGAGGGGTGGGCGTGCATTAACCGTCTCCTGATTCTGGGTAAATGCAAGGAATCGTCGAGGTCGCTTGCTGGGTTGACTTTGTAAGGCGAATCCTAAGCCTGGTCTTCAACAAGGTGCCTCTGAAGGTGAAAGATGGATCGTACGACGCAGTCAGCGACTGGCTAGAAATCGGTGTACTACTCGGAGTGAAGCGGCTTGTGGCAATCAAACAGTCTTGCGGATAATCATCCGGATGTGAGAATGTTGAATCGATCCGGATCTCATACCCTAGAATGCACCGCGTCCATAGGATGCGAAGTGAACGAAGGCTTACAGGGTGGAGTCCGGCAGATGACACGTACTGACTTCAGGAGCATTGCCGCTTCCGGAACGTGGAGCAAATCGTGTTCTTCAACGATTTTTGTATCGAGGACGAGTCTAACGGTACCCTTTCCCGCGGCTTTCATTCGTGCTCCGTTGGAACAGTCGAGGAACATGTGTTGGACCGGTTCGTAACTAACAAAGTCTGTACGATTTGGACTGATTGAGAAGGTGGCACCCGAGTCGATACAAGTGGACTCCTTCAAAGCTGCTGCATCCTGAGCTGAGTACGAGGACGCGATGTAGCGCCGTGGTAATGAAATCAAAGCCTTTCCGTCGAGGGTGTAAACAAGAGCAGCGAGAGAGATGAAGGTGTGTGCTCAGAAGAGAGCGACAGAGACAGTCCTAACCTTACAGCACCGAATGATGCCAGAGAGAGTGAACTCGAGTGCTGCTACTATACAGAAACTGGGAAGAGGCGTTCACGCGGTCAAACTTCATGTAGACGGGTCTAAATTGCGCTGATATCATGTCTCTACTATATTCATCCAGGAGACTGCCCTTTCTAGCGTCTTGTCCGAGACATAAGCTCACATCAGAAAGAGATCTATCACGTTTCCAACGAAGAGCTGCAATAACGGAAGCTCTCCAGCAAGCATAGAAGCCATCTTGTGGACATCTTCCAATGTTCCAACCTTTGTGCTATCCATGCCAAAGAATCACCATCATGTCCAAAAGTATATCCGGCTAGCCAGGAGATTCGAGGTGGAAGGTTTAAGGTACTATTCTAGACCTAAAAATTAACGTATAAGATATATGTGTTCTTCTTTGTGGCCTTCTTTCGTGCATACCCATATGTTTTGGTCAGTGCAGCCTTGACTGTTTTTTGGTTTTCATGAGGGCGTATTGTTTTCTTTTCTTTTCTTTGTGATGTGACAACTCCTCTTCTAGGACGGTTAACCTGTGGTTATAAATATATATAGGTATACATATATAGATAGTAGTATACCTGGTCTGTGTCAAGGATCGAATCATGCGCCTGCATCCCTGTCATGCCAACCGGGTCACATACATTCTGCGCCTGTCGAACTCATTACTTAGCCAAAACTCTGGCAGATCACTCTGCCTTTCTGTAGAGTGAAACAACAGAGCAAATTCATTGTTTGGCAGAGTTTTTCGTTCCAGTGAAGAACAGGGAAACCTATATACCTTTGCAGCCAAGCGTTGTTCCTGTGCAAGCGTGCTCGACCAGATGTGCAGACTTCACTATGTGTTATGCACTCGTGTCAAAGCCCAACACACTGATTGGGAGCATTGGTCCAGGCCTCAAGTTTTTGGTCAGACGGCGCAGGACAAGTTATCCTACACATTGAACATACGATCATAACTTGGTGGGTGGATGCATCATTTGCAGTCATCCTATTACCGTTCCAATACAGGAGAGTCATGTCCTTTGGAAGTGGTGCGGTGCGTCTGTGTTGCGAAACAGAAATGAATTCGAGGAGCAGCACGGAAGCTGAATTGATTGGAGCTGACAGATTCATTCGCCCATTGTTTTTGGCAAAGTTTTTTCCTGAAGAGGCAGGGGATCCGTTGTGAAGGACAAGACATGCCTCAGTGCAGGACAACAAAGCACGATCATTCTTGCAGGAATGGCAAAGGCAGTTCTGCAAAAGAACTCGGGCTATAACATTCGTTTCTTTTTTATTCATGACCAAATTGGAAAAGGCAACTTTAGAGTTGTGTACTGCCCAACCTGTGAGATGCGTGGAGATATTTTTCACAAAGCCCCTTCAGTGCAAGCTCTTCCACAGCACAGGGCTTTCATCATGGGGCATCCACCCCTTGTTTGATTGCCTAATTTATTTTATTCGTTCCACGGTAGCCACTTAGGGCACCGTGCAGGAGTGTGTTGGAGGAAACATACCTGACACCTCTTTACTATTGACTCGTGTATTAATCATCTAGTCCGGTTCGCATGCAAATTCTTCATGCAAGGAACCGAGGGAGTTTTAGGTCTAAAGTGTTACGGGGGTCCTTATATCCAATTCAATCACAAGAATTGCTATGCACCACCAGAAAATCCTCACTTTTGCTTTTCAGCTTAATCTAAAACCAAATTACTCCCCAATAAGCTGCAGTATTACTAGCAAACAACAAGTAGATCTCTAGCAGAAAAGATTCCACAACCAATCATCGCAAGAAGCTTCTGTTTTCCAATACCCTTGAACAGAAAGGTTGAGGTTGTTCCGGTTGGACTTGCGTCTGAAAATGTCTTGAAAAGTGATGTCAGCGGTAGCTCGATCTCGTGCCCACTCCCATGCTCTCCTTGCACGTGAAAGATCATTCTCGAGTTTGCGTCTTTTCTTCTCGGATTCGGTTGGGGGTGGAACAAACTTAATCATAGAATCGATCGTACGTTGATTTGTTCCGGGGACTACTTTCCGTGGCTCCACTGCAACCTTCTTTGCCGCACAACTTTGGTAGTAGAATAGACTGTCGTTGATGTACCTGTTGGCAACCCCTTGTGCAATCCCGCGGTAGATAGCTGCGGTGGGATCGCAAGAGCGATTCACAATGTGGGCGTAAAGCTCTTGGTCAACACCAACTCCTCGAGAAACGTGAAAGTTGAAAATGCCGATGAGCTTGTTAGAATCCAGTTCCAAAGACTTTTCATTGTAGCCTGTGAACTTGCGCTTGCAAGGTTCGCACTTGTAGTAGATGGTGTCCAAATACCGGTGGTCATACAAACCATAAAGGATTTTGGGAGTAGCCACCCAATCTAACTTGGGGTTCAACGAGATGCCGTTATTCTTCTCGCAATGAGGACACGACGGAAGATGGGAGGGAATCAGCAAATGAGGAATCCAGCAAGCAACAGGGCGAACGTACATGGTAGATGCAAGCACGATGGGATCTCTTTGATTCAAACACGTGTTGCGTCCACCATGGGGAGCAATCTGCGACCAGTCTCTTCCAATTCCAGCTTTGAAAAAAGATGCACCCTTCGCCTCCACTTCAAAATGCACCTTCTTAATCCAATCAGCCTGTGCTTGACCGTACTTCGGTTTAGCTGGCCCACTGTGTGACGTTCCCGTTGCACGACGGGGCCGAGACGCCATGGTGAAGCTGTAAACAAACAAAGCAATAGGCAGACAGGAAATGAGAGCAGCAATAAAGCACTTGCTTTTGGTTCGCTGGACCTGTCCAAACAATGCCAACACTATCCGTAGCTATCACTACCATTCCTACCTATAACGGCACAGCCGAGACTGCGACAATTTTGTGGGCCAAATGGATAGGGCAAAATCGTCGAACAAGATTTCAAATTACTTTCTAGATTGCTGGGGAGTACCGGTTTGAAGAAAACACGATCCACCTATAAGCCTCTCCAACAGTCAAATAACCCAACTGTAGAGAATGTAGCGCAAACACCAGCGTCATGGGGAGTCATTGGTTCAAATTCATTTAGAGGGTAACGGCTCCCTACCGCGCCAGACCAGGAATTGAATACCGGTTCGATATTTTTCCTCCCCGCGCCCGCCCCCCTCTTTTTTTTTCTTCTTCGTACGCAAAAGTTAGGGTTAGGCCAACCGAGTCGAGTCCAAAGGAATTGCCAGTTAGACTACAGTAGTCTAATGGTGAAATACAGGGAGAAAGGGAACCAAGGCTTGGCTTTAGAGGCTGGTTCACAGGACACGTGTAGACAACT